ACAGAGTGGACCCCCCCCCCCAATATTACCACACCACAAAGGAGGAATGGATGAGGTATGGTTAACCCTTGTGCTAGAAACCATTACACGGGAATTCACATCCGCATTTTTATTTATTTTTAATCACAAAAGAAAACCAACAAAATATCAGCAATGGGGGAAAAAAGAAAAAACCAGACTACTGTCAAGATGCTTAAAAAAAAATTTTAACCACAAAACATAATTCACAGTGCTAGCACTTTGTCGAGAAAAGTGATTATATTGTCGACATACAGTGCTTATATACAATACCTGTACAGAGGGCATGTGAGGGCCAGTGTAAAGTTTACCCAATTAGATATTGCCCAGGGCAGTCGGGTGGGGTATAAAGACTGGAGCAAGCGAACATGATGTTTAGATGGCAAAGATGAGGATCGAGAAATAGCTATAAGCATCAGTGGAAGTATGTATGTGTTTCGGAATTAAGATATTTTATTTGCAGAAACTACAGATGTTGTATAAAGCTCATCTGAAGTTTCAAACTATTTCATCATGTATTTTTTTTTTCTTGCAATGCAGTAAAATTAAACATATGCCAGGTTTGAAGGAGTAAAGGTAGAGCTTGTAATATATGCATGCTTAAGGATTTGATACTTTGGTAATTACTAAAGTCCTAATATATTTCAACTTTGTTTGCCAAAATAGAAACTTACCATTGAATCATATTAAGCATTTTTCACGAACAGGAAAAATTTTCTATTCAGCATTATTTTCTATCACATATCTGATATATATTGTTTCAAGAAGTTTAACAATTTGCAATAAAATAAATATGGCAAAAGTATGAAGTGCAGTACTGAATAATACATAGTTAATATTTATGAAACAGATTACATTAAAAATGTAAACAGTGAGCATATCACTCATTTCTTCATACCTCATTACAGCCATATGGACCATCGCCTCGGTCTCTGTCAAATCTCTCTCGATTTCTATTCCTGTTCTGCCTACGATTCCTATGAAAGATAATTATGCATATAATTCTAAACAGAATAACATAGTAATTACTCATGTGTCAAGTTACCTCAGAATTCAATGCAAACCATTCTCACCACTACTAAAAGATTTGTTCACATCTAAAATGAAAAAACCTTTTCTTTACTTAGAATTGGGTTGCCAACCAGAATTTGAAAATAAAAAATTGCTAAAATTGTAGAACATGACATCATAAGTCACTAAAATACTTAGTTATATGTAACATTAACCTTTTTTGTAACTAAATATGAACTTCTGATACACAATTTTGATGAAGAAAATAAATTATAAATATTTTGTCCAGACTATGAGACTGAAGGGCTGAAGACATGGAGGGCTGACATATCCATCTCATTGATTTTAACTGCTACAGAGTGGCCAGACATACTTTAATTTGTAGATTACTAAAAGAAAAGGACATACTTTGTCAAAGAGTGCTTCAAATGATACTTCTCAATAATTGTTTTTTCGTCACTCCAAATAAAAACTTCAATATTTAAATATAAAATTATGTGCAAATGACAACTGACAAGAAGCAAGGCCACATCTTTGTCATGTACTAAACTAATGGCACCTGAAAAGTGGTAGGGCCATTTCTTTGTCATGTACTAAACTAATGGCACCTGAAAAGTGATATTGCCACATCTTTGTCATGTACTAATGGCACCTTCCAGCTCAATGTGGCAGTCACCAAATTGCCATTCTGCTTGAAAAAAATCTTAGTTTTAAGTCTCTGAGTGATGACTTTTAAGTGCAAAGGTACCATCCCATTTTTATAATTATCCAAAAATAATCATGGGAAGATGCTACCAGGAAAGTGAAATAAGCTTCAATAATAGTTGCCACAACTGTTATCTTCCTTTATATAAATGTTTCAAGGAATCACTTATAGAGTGGGTCTCTGAACTGGCATCCAATATTTTTTAGCCTACCAAACATACAGAAAGACTGATGGATTGGTCAACTATGCAAGTACAATTTGCACTATTAATTACTTTAAGACTGCCTATATATTTTTCTCTACAACATAATTTGTGCAGGGAGGCCACATTCTTTCCATTCTTCCACTCCAGACTTTCAAGGCAAAATTACTAGTTTTACAGGCATAAAAACACTGATATTTCAACTATTCCTTGCATTGATATATCAACTGTTCCTTATAATTCTACCTAATTAACACCACTTCAGCTTGTAATCTTATTATAAAGGGTGAACTTCAGAACATACTTCCAAGTTCTAATCTTCAAACAAGGATAATTCAACTTGATGGAAGACACTTGTTGCACGTTTATTCATAATACAATACTTGATCTAACCTGTCTTCAAATTTAACAAATTATGGAACTCTCCTTATGTCACATAAAAAAGAGATTGACTAACATTATGTTAAAATATTACTATAATTTGCATAGCTAAACAGCATAGATTAAGCATGCATGGAGATTCTGAAATAAAAAGAGGAGAACATACATTCCTCCAACTTTTGGGACTATTTTTCTCTGATGTTTTGTCCCTTTTTTTTACTCTGTGCATATCAGAAGATTTTACCTTAGTTACACTCAAAATTTAATTAAGCAATCTTATGATCAATGTATGCCACTGAAATTAGCATTCAAATTTACAATATAGTTAAAAGTCTTATATTATCTAAGCTTTAATTCTTTTAGTTCAAAAGAAACCTGATGATTAAGTTCACAAATTCTTAAATCCTTGTCTCTGTAACTTGAATACTTCTTCATTACACTATACTTCCATGTATATACAGAAACTAGGTTAATTGCGCTGTTTACACATTCTTCTTTCAAACTCCTTAAGGCACATTCAGAAAAATGAGAAAAATTTCTTGAAACTCTTCACAGATGCCACATCCACTTTCTACAGATAATTGTGATTTCTCAGCCAATTATACGAGTTGAGCTACATGTTTATAACCAATAGAAAGAGCACATTTTAAAATACAATTTTCCAAGTTATTTCAAAATTGGCAAGAAGAATTCTATAGAGAACTAGTCAAACCCTTCTTAGCATTCTTGCTGCTGTTATCCTTGCTAGAAATTTAGCATTGTTTCTCACCTAAAAATACATTAGTTAAATACTGCTGAATTATATTTAGGTTTTCATTTTATATTTTTTTATTAATTATGTGTTATTTATATATTAAGATGTATATTTGAAAGGTTTAATAATTATTTTCATATAACTCGATGATTCCTCAGGTTAATAAGAGTTAGTGTAATATGAGTGCTCCACCACATTTAGCTGAAACCTAAAGTTCCTCTGCCCACGACACCATAATAGTGGCCTGGGACACCCATTTACATGTGTTGTGATAAATAATAACAATGCTAAAGGACAGGAAAGGAAAATAAAACATTAAAAATAACTTATATGCAATTATGATTATAACCAAAAGAAGATATTTTAAAAACATTAAAAGATATGTACATTTTTCCTATGTCTTATTTTGAAACATCTAATTGTACTATACTAATCATGAGCGATATTCTTCACAAGTGTTTAACTCATGGTGATAGGCTGAACTGTTTTCACAGCATCCAATCACCATAGCAACACACATAATCAGTACTCGCACAGTCACTGCGGGCAATTATGGTTATATCTCTCGTAAATAACATCTTGTGTCACTGCTTTTTCAAAACTACAGTAATTATATATTTGTGCTAGTAATGGATGATATTAAAATATTTTTGACTAAAACAATTTTTTTAATCTCCCAAGGCTGGTTTACCCCCAGTAAACACGGTAAATACACCAGTGCTATAATTTGATAATAACAGCTACAGTTAGTATTTTTGTAGAGAAAATGAAAAAATATACACACTTACCTTAAAAAACTTTTGATATGTATTTAAGAGGTTCTAGGTGTTATACAAGTGAAATTTGAAATAAGATGGAAAAAAGTATATTTACACTCATGTTATTTTGTTAGTTACCTAAAATGCTACTTGGGCATACTTCCGTAAACTTAATTCTTTAATTTTTCTAGGTATGTGGTCGCTATGATTTCTGGGATCAAAATAACTTAAAAAATATCTCAATTCTGCATCTGATACTGTAAATCCTTATGCTCTAATACATAAAAACATAATAAAATCTTAATCTACCTTTCTCTGCGCTTTTGCCTGTCTAAGTCACCAGACAAGACCAACTCTGGAATCTCATTAGATCTTTCCATGCTCATACCAAATTCTGCACTATTTTCACCCAAACTGTCATAAGGCTCACCATCAGTGGAGCACTCTGTACCAGGAGTGTAGTTCATATTTTTAGATGAACAAGCAAACCAATTCTTGCAATATTACAAAGTTTCAGACTTCTAGTGTCTTCTATATAGAAACTGTAAATCATGACAAAAATATTTCAAAATAATTACATAACTTTTAAAACAATAATAAAATATAAATTAAATGAAAATTTAGCTAATTGAAACATTCTATTGGGTACTATTCTGTTAAATGCCCATGACTGGCAAGTTTTTACTACATTAATGCAATTCTTATTAATATAATTTTATACATTTACTAAGGACATTTACTATATGAATAAAATGCATTTTTATATGTCATTTTTATATTTATATATATTTTTTAAAGTTATTAAAATTGCAGGGGTATAATGTAAAAGTACCTTTTATTGTTTTAAACACCTAAATGCAACTACAGTAAAACTCTGCAATTATAATATGCACACAAAATTTACAATAATGTTTACCTTTTACCATTTTAGTTTACAAAATTTTGCTAAACTAATTATACAAGATTTGATATTAAGATCAGAAAGCTAGTACAAATAAACCCTACAAAAAATTGACATAAAAATGCAAAATTAGTTAGCCTGAACACTATAGTTGCATTTTACTATAGTGTCATAACAAGTTGCAAGAAGTTAATCATCAATAAATACAACTAAACAATAAAGAGTTGGCTTGTATAAAATTAAATGCATGTACTATCACTAAAGCCATTTCAAACAGGCTATCAGCATTCAAAAGATGTGCCTTCAGATGTGGTTGATGCACTAAAGGAAGTTTAAGGCAAGGCTTAATAGACATTTGAAAGACAAATGCTGGCTTCAAGTGTTTCAATTTTAAAGTTTAGTTCAGTTGATGGACTGGCCTAGATTGACCAATAGGTCCTTTGTTGTCCTTAATTTACATAGTAAGTTATAAAAGACATCACATGTGTAAACAAACCTTTTACGAAAATGTATTTCCAATAGATACTCACTTCTATACACACAGAACTGCTACACTTCCATGTATCAGCCTATAAGGCTTGCATGCTACTAGCCTTGAGCTTACTCCCACCTAAATTTGCATGTTTAACATGAACTGCACTGGTATATGATATCATCATACAAGTTTGCCACCAAAAGGAGAGATACAATCTCCATGCACAGTAACTTTCCATAAGCACTTGAATTTGAGGTAACTTCAAACTTAGACAACACAGGAAAATAAAAGGTGCCCAGTAGTGGGAATGTGTATGGAGGCATCTGTCACAAATACATTTTCAGTACAGGAAAATATTAACTTCTGAGACAATACCTCATCTCCACATAGAATTATTAGAATCTCACATTGGAGTAGTGTAGAGGCAGTTAAAACCTCAATTAGCTCCATGCAGAAAGCACCTATAGAGTTTGATACTCAATAACAGGGGCTCCAGAGGAGCACACCTGTGGGAGACCACATCTCCTCTCAAACAGGGCATACTCTTTGCCCAAGAAGAAAGAGGCAAAAGAGCCCCAAGTGTTGCAGGGATGGATGGATTTCAAACATGGGCAACCAAATACCTGCACACAAGCGGTCAATGTGTAGTGTGATTAGAGTGCAATTATCTCAACTCTACTGAACAGGATCTGGCTGCAGGAGTAAGGCACACTAGCTGCCTTACTTCTCACTATATTGCACTAAGAACAACCAGTGAGGATTCTCCAAGGTCCACCACCCCAGCAGCTAGACACTGGTAAGTAGTAAGGGTCTTCCATGCCCCACTTGGAAAGGGTTGCAGTAGAGGGTTTGTTATGGGAGAACCTGGAAAAGTGCCCAGATCCCCATTGGACCACCAGCTGAAAATATTTTTACTGGAGGCAGGTGTGGTAAGTGACTGCAAAACCCATTCTTATAAACAGGCAAGAGCAAGCCAAAGAAGCAGACAGTCGCTTCCTTGGTGTTGGATTTTTCCATGATAGTCCATGGTAATGGTACAGTCTGGATCAGACAAGTAAGTACAATTACACACCATAAGGATACTTCTAGTAGTCTTGTGGAACACCCCATCTCGCAGTGGACACTGTTAGAGCTAGGGTGCATGGGTTGAAGGATTGAAACAAAGTGGAAAGGTAAGGAGAAGAAAACCATACAGCAAGGGAAAGTGCAAAATGTATGGGATAAGCTGCCCAAAAACCAGCAAGAGTGGGAAAACTGATAATTCATGGTCAAACAACAAAGTGAAAAGAACCAAAATGTGGGCCACAGCAGGATGGCCAAGAGGAAGGGAGAGGCAGATGGACCAATGTCGAAAAACCCGACACAACTGATGGGCAGAGATAATGGATGATAGAAATGGAATCAGAAAAAGGACACATGATCAGAGTCCAGCCCAGAGGGGAATAGACTGAACAAACCCAACAAGTGAAAATAAAGGGACTACACCCCTGGGACAGAAAGGGAAATAAAGTAGAAGAAAGAGAGCAAAAATGGATGCCAAATGAAGGAGCAGAGGAAAGCAGGGCTGAGCTTGCCCAAAAGGCACCACCAACAGGACCTAACAAGGAATGTCAAGTATCAGAGGTAGGAGACAAGAAGGAGGATAGATATCCAGGAAAAGAGAATACCAGTCCTAGGTGAAAGTATCAGCCAATATGGCCAGAGGATGAGGAACTGGAGATCTGAAGAAGGAAAATTTGTAGTTCAGAGTAGTGAAGGCAGTGATTACAGGTGTGCCCAACTGACAACAAATCCCACAAAAACCAAAGGATGAAGAGATCACACTGTGGGTAGAACCCTGTTAGAGAAAAGAAGCATAACCACCACCAAGTTCATTGAAGTAAAGAGTAAAAGTAAAATATATCTGTTCCAGATATATTTTAGATGGTTGATAAAAACCGGTAATCATGGAATAAACAGAGTGTATCCTGACCAATCTATCCATGAGAAGGAGAAGGAATGGGAAAATGGCAAATGGACGATAAGAAGATAACGAATGTAAATGTAAAGTGAAAGCTCTTCTGGAGCCTACATCCCCTAATAAGAGAATCGACAGAGAAAGAATCGAGATCAAGTCAGGGTGCTGAAAAGGAAATGGCCATTGTGGTTTTGACACAGCTGAGCCACGAAATCAAAACCTTGAGAAGATGAAAAAGTAGGTATAAGATCAAAGACAACAGATCTCTGGAAGCATATTGCCAGTTCAGCAACTACCACGAGAAAAGGTATGTGTGAGTATGGCCTAAAGGAATGAGTGGCAGAAGGGAAAGCAGAATCCTCAGAAGTAATTGAATCTTGTGTTCAGGGGGGAAAAAATAAACTGAGCAGACTCCTGCAGAAAAATGCAGGTGTCAGAAAAGGTGCAAGGAGAAGCCAATTATCTATGTAAAATATGAAGGCCATTACCAAACCATGAATAATAAAAATGAATGCCCTAGAGAGTCGAGCAAAGAATGAAGGAGCAGACACAAGCCAAAAAGAAGAGTACTGAACTGGAAGACTCAATCCCTATGGATGAAACAAAGAAAAATATCTGGAGGATGGGAACAGTAGGAATGTGTAAAAAGATGTTCAAAATATCGACCATGGTTATCCATGGTGTGTGAAAAAACAACCAATGGGGAGAAAAGATACCCTCCACACAACTGAGGAATGATAACCTGATAGAAAGATGACAGGTCAACAACCATATGCCAGAACCCAGTCACTTTGGAAACACAAAAATAATAGAGTAAAACCATGTGTAAGAATAAATATCCTCTCAATAGCATTTTCAGTCAAGAAATTTGAGATCACATCCTCAAAACATTGAAGATAAGGGGGAATGAAGGAAGGAGAAAAGGAAATGCAGATGGAAACAAATTGGAGGATATCAGACTACCAGTTATGTTCTCCAAAGTTTACCAATCTTCCATTTCAACTAAAACAGTGTTTACCAACTTTTTTTTTGCCACAGCAAACAATGAGCACTCATGCTTCCTTCTAAAATATTTTTAATGCAAGTACCAAAAGTGGCACCAAAAGAGAGAGATGCTCAACGAATGGATGAGAAGCATTGCTTGCCACAAACACACCCACACAATGATTTTTCAAACATGTTAAAAGAAAAACCAACATTTCTTATGGTTTAATTTTTACAAATATAACTTTGAAACCCTCAAATCTTTCCTGTCCACCCCCCTTAAAGTTTACTCCCCCACCCCCCATATTTTAAAAATGCCCACTATGGCGGTACCACCCATGTTGGTAAACACTGTACTACAACAATGAACTCACTCAGTTTCTTTCTAATAGTCCTAATGTTTGAAATAATACCAATTAAGCTTATTTTTGTGCCTATTATGCTTATCTTTAAATGTGACACTCATCATTTAACTTGTTATGCAATAAACCTACTTAAACTCCTCATTGACCCAACTGTTATATCAATTTGTTTATTTTCAATTTCCCAAGCTCTCTCACTAGGTTTGTAATTTGTTACTTACGAGCATTATTTATTTAGTATATTCACTGTATAGTGTTTGTACAGCTATTCCTTGTGCAATAGTGTCACACAAATTATTATTGAAAGTAGGACGAGTTATCCATCCACCACTTTTTTGGCAGCTATAGGTGCTTTTTGTTGCATAAAACTCTGACATAAGCACCCTGTTATTATTAGACATCATATGACTAGGTTAATTTTATACCTTAGTCATTTTTTTGTGAGGAATATGATCACACAACCATTCAATATAACATGCTGCTACCAGTAGTTAAATTCTGAACTACAACAATATTCCTTAGGACAATAAACTTTGCCTTCCTACAAATGTCATTTTATCAATGAATACTGTTTAGTTTATTAACTTAGCATGTATAAAGAAAATATATGACAACATATTGTATCAGGATTATTACATCACTTTCAATTACATACACACAAGTGATGTCATCAGCAGTTGCCCAATTCTAGCTTTAACATAAGATCTCACACAGAATTTTCATTTTCATGTTCAGGCTATCATATAACAGTAAGCATAAATTGTGAAAAGATATCATATTGTAATTCAATATTTGGGTAAAGTCAGCCTCTCAAACTATCCTCCATAAGGTACCCCTTCTATCTCCAGAAATCAGAATCATCCCAGTTTTCCTTTTCTGAACCTTTACCAACAATTCAATGTCCTTTCTTAAAGTTAGACAAAACCCAAAATGTAAACAGTATGAAAAAAAAACTAAATAACGTATAAACCCTAAAGTCATGACAGTTATGACTTTAGGCTTAGCTGCATGTCGAATTTGTAGTAATGAAATTAAAAAAATAAAACTTACAATCATAACTAAAGTAACTAACAGGGTTACTTTATTAATAACAAAATAATATTTATCTAGGAAAACGTTATAATCTACATCAGTACAACTTGCATTAATACTAACAGTAACAGTACAAGGACTAGTAGTAGCAGAAACTACAACTAAAGTTATTAATTTTACTGCACTATTATTATTAACTTAGTATAAGTATAATCATGATAGGGCTTAGCTCTACTAATAGTAGGCAGATAAATTATATCATTTATCAGCACTACTAATACTAATTACGGGAGGACTATATAGAGCTAGTCAAGACTCATACTCGTCATAGAAATACAATTACAAGTACATGCACGTTACCATTCGTAAACTTCGTCTCACAAAGGAACGCAGGCCAAAAATAGGTTTTCTTAAAACTGTTAACAAATATCTACACGAAATACCTCAATTCCACAAATCTAATATATTTTTAGTTTCTCGCGGAAACTTGAGTCTTTTTTTGATGAAGGACAGAAACCAACTTAACTTGGATACGATTCAAAATGGCGTAAACAATACACCAGCCAAGAGCAAATTTAATAGAATCTACTAACCTTGAGAGAACCCTAAACTAGAATTCGAAGTAAGCATGAATTTGTATATTCATCCGCGTTTATGAAAACTGTAAAGTGTCAAACAACTACGTTAATACCAGGTAGGATAATAAATTATAAATTTACCAACATGTCTAAAATTTTGGTAAAAATCGCATAAATTGCGGATGATTTTAGACGTTCCTCTTAATTTGTCCATTGTGGATTCAAAATAGTATTTCAGGTCTATCTTTTGTCTAACACGAGTCATTGCTAGAGGACATTCGATTGATATTTGAAATTTTTAATTGGGCTGGAGATGAGAGGCTTTTGTTTGTGGTTAAGCACAAAGCTACACAATGGGCTATCTGTGCTCTGCCCACCAAGGGTATCAAAACTCGGTTTCTAGCGTTATAAGTCCCACAAACATGCCGCTGTGCCACTGGGGGCGAGGTGAGAGGCAAAAGATTATATGAAACGTCTTTTATATTCGTAGTATAACTTGTTTCTTTGTTTTTCTGAATAAACCCATACTGGACTATCTTTTGTGTGTATCGCGAAGAATCAAACCCTGAATTTTATCATTGCTAGTACGTAAACATACCGTTGTCCCACTTTCAAAGTTAACAATATTTCTTCACAAAATTTAGATTTAGCGGTTTTTAAAGCTTCACCAACTTTCGGCGTTTAAGCTATAAATTACAAATTTATTAAGCACAATAATGTTTACAAATCTTTGATATTAATAAATTACTTCAAACTTCAAAGCACTCAGTGCAATTATAATAGTGTCACGACAGCGTAAGTCACGCGACTCTGGGAGCATGCGCGCTGGAGTTTCTCGAAGGATCATGAATTATCGAGGAACCCCGCGAATGTCCGAGTGTGTGCTAGACGCCTTTTATTTTTATTTTTTTTAGTATAT